AGATGACTCAGTTGTTAAGAGCACTTGCTGCTCTCCCAGAGGATTTAAGTTCGGTTCCCAGTGCTCACATCAAATGACTTACAACCACCTGTTACTCCCGCACCAGAGCATGTGGACACTGGTACATCCACATAAGTAAAAACGAACAGCTATGGTAAGCTTATCACACCTAAACAGAAAATTGTTTCTGAAACCCCCGCCCTGTTGTTTGTTTGTTTTTAAGGAAAAGCTAACGAGAAGTGAAAGGTTAGGGCAGCTGCTCTTTAGGGTGTTTTGTAAATCGCACTGTCATCTTTGTTGCGGCAGCCGTCCTATTGAGAAACTGCATGTCACAGCCTCTGGGAAGCCGCACTGTGTCTAACGAAGCAAGGGCAAAAGGACACCCGATGCCCTGGGGTCCTGAAGGGCTTTAAAGACCTGCACATTCTCGTATCTTTTGTTCCTCCAGAATCCAGGGCTTGTGTGAGAAAAGGCTGAGCGGTTAATACACTGTGATTTCTGCAAGGCACCATGATTTCTCTTCTGTTTTGTCTTCCCAAGTGAATATTCTGTTGTCTTTTTCATTTTACTTCTTTGTGAGGTGGGGTCTTGGTATGTAACCCTGACTGCCTAGGAACTTGCTGTGTAGACCAGGCTGGCCTCCAGAACTCAGAAAGATTGGCTGCCACCGCCTCTGCTTCCAGAGAACTGGGATTAAAGGTGTGTGCCACTATGTCCTACCAAATTAATCTTATTTTTATATTTTTGTGTGTTCTATATGCATTGTACTCATTTACCTTGCATCCTGCTATAACTGTTAATCAATCTGTTTCCTCCAGTGGTTTCCTCACTTTTGTCTCCTTAGCTTCCCTTGCTATCCTTAAGAATGGTTTCTTCCTAGATTCCTATGAGGCTGGCCTCTTGCTCTCTTTTGTAACACTGGGGTTTCTATCGCCTCTCATGCTGAGCACCCTGGTCACCCAACCTCTGTCTTTTTCTCAATAGACTGTCTAGTGTAAACATGAAGACCAGGTGGTATGAGTTTAAACCTAGCTCTTTGGCTCATCTAGCCCTTTGACCTTAAGCCGTGTGACCTCTTTCTGACTCAGTTTCCCCATCTTAAAAGGTATTACTGGTGAAGAGTGAATATCCTGTGGTCTGACACAGGTAAATCACTGGGAGAGTTCCTGGAAAATATTAAGCATCCCAAAAGCAATGATGCTGTTCACATTGCCATTAGAGTTAGGGGTGGGTGGTGCCCCCTCCCTTTTTTTGGTGGCATGCATTTTGCAGTAATCTGCCAAGAAGAGATCTGTGTGACTTTCTGTGAAGATGCCCTTATTTTCATCACATTTGACCTGCTGCCTGGATGACTTGCTGTTTGGAAATGAAGCTTTGCCTGGCTTCATCAAAGCCTTCAGCAGGCACTGTGCCCTAACTGTCCACTACCTGGATGCTGTGCTTAAGGGCTCAGCTCCGAAGCTCTAGGTCAGTCATCGGTCATTCTTGCTAACTTTGGAGATTTCAATGCTGGCCTTTACAACTACATACTTTAAAAAACAACTTATCATTTGATCTCCAAGCAGTATATATTTAGAAATGTCTACTTCCTGCCAGCGCAGGGAACTGAATGCAGCTCTGAGGGGATAGGAGTTACACGCTTAGCAGAGGGGCACGGGCTGTGATTGGAGGTCTCATTCCGCAAATGTTGAGCAAGCTTCTTTGCCCGGCACTGGGTTGCCAGGTCTGAAGAAAGGAGATGTGGTTCTTTCTTCACCACATAGTCTGATTTCGGGTGTAATATTCAAAATACTCTTTCTACGGGGGGCACAAAAAATGCAACCCAGTGCCACTTTATAAAAGGTCCGTGTTGCTTAATGCTTTCTTGGCAGGACCCTTAGAAAACTCCAGCGGAGTTCTGAGAGCTGTAGATACATGTCAAGAGCTTTCCTTGTGATTGGAGCCTTTCTGGGAGACTCAGAATCAAAGCAGATCTCAGTGACAGACACCAGTGGGTAGGCAATAGAAACCACCCTGGAAGAAGACGATGGGAAGGGCAGAGGCCAGGCATGCCCAGAGGAAGAGAGGCGGTGAAGGTACAGATAGCAAGAAAGAGGAACCCCACCCACGGAGTCCAGTCATCGACCTCAACCATGATCCTAGCGTATCTCTTGGCCTTCTCCTGGTGGCGCTTTGGGCTTTCTCACTGGAGTCACAATCCTGAGACACTTGTATGACTTGGTATTAGACACAGGAATTGGTATTTTGCTTGTGTCACGGCAGTCCCTGAGAGAGGCTGAGCATTATTCCCTGGAATGAGATGCTAACTGGACAGATTTAGACCATGCTTCCCAGTGCTGTGGGGTATGGGGCCTGCTCTGCATGCCCATATGGTTGTATGGGTGTGTGCATGTATTTTGTGTACATATGCAGTTTTGAAGGAGTATTTCCAATGCTTTAAAAATGGTGTTGCGGCATCGGTGGTATGACTCAGGGAGAGTGCTTGCCTAGCATGCTGGAGGCCCTGGTTTGTGAGCAGCGTATACCAGAAAGGTAAAAGGGTATAGTAGGTAGAGTTTTTGTTTGTTTGGGGTTTTGGTTTTTTGAGTTAGTGTTTCTCTGTATAGCCCTGGCTGTCCTGGAGCTCCCAATGTGTAGAACAGACTAGCCTTGAACTCACAGAGATCTACCTGCTTCTGCCTCCTGAATACTGGGATTACCACTGTCTGGCCAATAGAGTTAATATGCTCATTTATAATAAGATGAATGTTGTTATCATCTCTCCAAATCCTTGCTTTGGAGTTGAGGTAGCTCAGTGAGTAAAAGTACTTGCTAATAAGCCTGATGACTTGAGTTTGATCCTTGGGACCTACTTGGTAGAAGGGGAGGGTCAACTTCTGCAAATTATCCTGTGACCTCCACGTGAATATGGTGGCAGGTGGATACATGCACCTCCCGCCCCCTCAACAATCTTTTTTTTTTTTTTTTTTTTTTTTTTGGTTTTTACGAGACAGGGTTTCTCTGTATTGTTTTGGAGGCTGTCGGTCCAGCCTGGCCTCGAACTACAGAGATCCGCCTGCCTCTGCCTCCCGAGTGCTGGGATTAAAGGCGTGTGCCACCACCGCCTGGCTAACAATCTTTACCTTTTTGTTGTTGTGTAAGACAGAATCTCACTATGTATGTAGCTCTGGCTGCCCTGGAACTCACTATGTAGACCAAGCTGACCTTGAACTCCCAGAGATCCGCCAGCCTCTTCCTCCTGTGTGCGGGGATTAAAGGTACAAGCCACCATGTCACACTTCTGTTGTCTTGCTATATAGGCTAAGCTGGCCTGAGACTTGAACTCATCCTCCTGTCTGCCTCCTAAGTGCCTGGACTATAGTTGTGGGCCACCATACTTTTGTTGTTAATTATTATAAATGTAACTGTTAGGTCTCAGGCTCTTCATATGTCTAGAAATGAGCTCAAGCTGGACTGTAGAAGGAACTTATGAAAAGACTGGCTTCTACATCCCTCGAAGGAATCTGGCTTCTCCACCCTCCCTCCCCTAACTACTTCTTGTAATCTACAGGGTTTGTCCACCCCTGCTCTCTCTGTCCGTTCTCTGTCTCTAGCCCCCATCCCCCATGCCCCATGCTCTGTCTTTTTCTGTCTCCACCACTGCTCTCTTCCACTTCTCAAGCCCTGGCCACATCCAGTCTGTTCCTGTTTCTCTCTGCTCTGGACTCTTGCAGATGCCTCTGGATATTTTCTGTTTTATAATAAAAACCTTCCTCCTAATGGAGCAGGTATGTCGGCGCCACCTTGCTTGCAGTCGTGAGGAAGGTATAGCGTGGGCCGCACAGCTCATTTCTGTGAACACTTATTATTCCCACCTCTCCCTTTGTCCGGTGGTCTTTCCGCAAGTGAGTGTGCATTAGCATGAGTGATACTTTAGAATCTTTTTTGACATACACAAGTGTGTCCTGGTTCTATCAGTACACTGTGGTTTTGAAATGCCCTCATTTTCTGCATCAGCTGCCTTCTTGTGTTTCTTGTGTATTTTAAGCTGAAGCTGATCTGACAGTTAGTGGTTTGGAGACTTTGCATGCATCTCCAATAAAAAAACAGTCCTGCCCTGGCGTGCACCCTTATCCCAGCTTGACTTTTCTGTCTGGTCCTCACCATATGGAACTGTGCAAAATGGTCATTGGTTAAACAACAGTAGAAAGAGGCTTTTGTTTCACCACAGCCAGGTAAACCGTGCCCCTGTGGTGCTCCGATTAGTTACGGGTGTTCCTGAGCCACGTGCCGCCTCCACACGCAACCTTGTTGCTTATTATTTCTGGCCTTGCTTTACTTAATTTCATCTCCTTCCCTCCCTCCCTCCTTCCCTCTCTCCCTCCCTCCCTTCTTCCTTTCCCTTTTCTTTCTCTTTTCTTTACCTTCTTTTCGGGTGCCAGGGATGGATCCCAAAGCCTAGAGCATAGTTCTATTGAATTTCGATTGATAGCATTTACTTGCTAAGACCCAAGATTTTTCAGAGCTAAACCATGGGAAGCTAGGTATGTGACCGCCTTCGCCATAACACATCTCCTTTGTCTTTGGACTCCATAATTATGTCCCTAGTCCCCCTTTTTTTTGCCTTGATTTCAAGGTAGTTATTAAATAAGTCCAAAGACTGTTGTTTAAACAGTTTTGCAGTGTTTGCGAACCTTTCTTACCTGTCACATTGTCACAATTCTAAGACTCTGTGTTAGCACTATGCTCACTCCCCCACTCCCATTACTAATAGGGAGCCCATGCTTGGGCAATGACCTCCTGAGAACAGGTTCACAGTGTTAAGTGTTTTGTTTTGTTTTTCTACTCCAGGGTTCCTTTTATTCACTTGGTGGTTTTTTCCGACCGTGCTATCTAAAAGTTCTGTTTTCCCTTGCCTCTTCCATGAGTCATTTTGTCTCTGTAACTCCTACCCTTTCTATTGACTTTTCTGATTTTTACTATCGTGCCATTAACGTTAAAGGCCTGTTTTTCTTTGCTAGGTGTCCTGTGTTTCTCTGCCTGTTCTACTAACCTATTGCTATGGAGCAAAGCACCTCAAATGTGGTTTAATTCACATGCTCAAGGACTCAGTTAAGACTGGCATAGCAACAGTCAGTCAACTCTTGATTTAGCCCCTTCCTTGTGGCACCCGTGATGACTGGAGCTGATGGCAGGGGTACCACTGTCTGGTTTCTTCCTGTGGTTTCTCAGAGCATGAAGGAGCTTCTGGAGAACCCACTTCCCAAGGCAGGTGAGAGCTGTGTGTTCCTACAAGGGCTGACACTGGTACTCGGTGTCTTTCCTGCCAAACTCTGTTGGTCAACATAATCATCACCTGTCCAAATTGGTGTGGGGGAGGGGGTGACTGCTTGAATGTTGCCTGGCAAAGTCACCTTATGGAAGAGCATAGGACAGTACTGTACAAGCAGCCTTCTGACAATGTAATGTACCTCAGCTATTTTTGTGTTACTTGTTTGTTTAAGGAGCGTGCGTGAGTGCGTGACTGTGTGGTGGTGTTCAGTCATGGTGCACGTGTGGAGGTCAGAAGACAACCTGCAGAAGCCAGTTTTCTTCCTCCACCATGTGGGTGCAGAGACTGCCAGACTTGGCAGCACATGCCTTCGCCCGCTCTGCCATCTCACTGGCCCCATCATATAATTTATTTTTGGAGACACAGTGTCTCTCTGAGAATCTTAGTGGTAGTTTTCTTCTTCCTAAAGTCTGTTTCCTTTCAACTCTTAAGTACTCACTTGTAAGAAAGATATTTAAGTCTTATTTTCTCTTAATCTAGATTCCCTAGTAAATAAACTGTCTTGCACTGACAACCAAAAATTCCAGGAGCTGATAGGGAAAACAAGTGAGCTAGAGCCTGTCTCACTGCTCACTGTTGAACATGCCTGGGGCCCTCTTTTTTTTTTTTTTTTTTTTTCTGTTGGGGATCACAGACTTTCCTGGGGCACTTCTGCAGAGAGGAAACCTTGGTCTTAGCCAAGCTTGAGATAGAGACCCAACTGTTTTGTAAACAACCTCCAAGCCTCCTTTGAAAGGTGTGCCTGCACCAAATCCTTGAACCTTTTGAAGATCCTGTAATGTAAATAGAGCTCATTCTTCCTATCTCTGTTGTGGGCTGGGACTCTTGGGGCTTCCCGGTCACTTGTCCTCTCTCTGCTCTTCAGCCCTTCTTCATGACTCCTTTTTCTTATCCAAGATCGTCTGCGTTTTCCTTCCCACCTCATTGAGTGCCCAGATAGATGCCTTTTGCCTTTCTGGGTGGTTATTTATTTTATATTGTAACATAGAGAGTGATCATACTGTCCGCTTTCCTTTTACCAACTTTCCTTAATTACTGGCACATAAAACCAAGAGTCTGTTTTGAGAGTTTCATCTTCCATATGTTTTAGTCACACGATCATAACCTCTATTTTCAGGTTCTCTTCTCCCTTCTCACTGGGGAATTATTTTGTTCCAGTCTGTAAGTTAAGAATCTTTAGTAAGTTGTTAGTATAGCATTAATGTGTATTTCTATCAAACTTCCGTTCTTCATGGAAATCCCTTTCTCTGATGTCTCTTTTTCCTGGCTCCCCACTCTATGAGAACGCTCTACTGGTTGAGGCTGCAGTGATTAGTGAAAAATTTTAATCAACTGCTGTTTCCATTTACCATGATGATAAATGTACAGGATCAAAGGCTTGATTAGTTTGTTCAATTGTCCTTCAAGTCAGATGGCTAAGTAACGCAGAGAACATAATTCACAGTCCATATGCTTATCCGTGTGTATACCAACACTGCTGTGTTGTCTTAACTTGTGTGGGTTTGAGTTACTGTCTAGCATTCTTTTGTTTTAACCAAATGATTCCCATTTATTATTCCTTGTAGAGCAGCTACATTAAAATAAATTCAGCTTTTCTGGAACAGTTGTAATTTCTCGATGCTTTTAGGGATCATTTGATGGCAGTCTTTTATGGGTTTTCTTGTTTTATTTTGTCTTGTTTTTGAGGCCCAGTCTCACTCTGTAGCCCAGACCTTTGCCTCTGTCCCAAGAGGACTGGTATTAAAGGCACTGGCGGTTTTTGAGTTTATATTCGTTGGAGCTCAGTGAACCAGAGTGTACAAATTTATTTTCTTAGATTTCTATGGAACAGTTTTAGGTTTACAGAAAAATGGTAGAGGAAAAATAGTTTCCATATTTTGTACTATTTCCCCAGTAATGGACATCTTGTATTAGTAATGTATGTGTGTGTGTCTGTGTGTGCATATGGATCTCCATGGAAGTCAGAAAAAAGGTGCCATATCCTTTTTAATTGGAGTTTCAGGTGACTGCAGCTGCCTGTCAGGGGTGCTGGGAACCAAACCCTGGTCCTCTGGAAGAGCAGTAAGTGCTCTAAACCACTGAGCTCTCTCGCCCCCAAGTATGGTGTGTTTCTTGTAACTGACTCCCTCTACCCCTTTCTTCAACACTGAGAATTAAACCCAGCACCTCATGTATGCTAGGCAAGTGCTCTACCGATGAGCCGCACACTGGTGCTCAGATATCAATCCTGGTCATTCTGAAGGGTCATAATGTCCCTTAACCACAGTCACACGCAGAGTAACTTCCCTGTGCTCTAACAAGCAGGAAACAGGCCCTACTTACTCATCATCTCCTACCCTCCCTGTCTTCCACACCTCTGACAAATATTGATCTTATTACTCTCTCTATAGTTTTGTCTTTTCTAGAACATCCTGTGCTTGGGACAACACAGATTTTGGTCTTTTCTAACTTTTTGTTGTTGTTGTGACCAGGTAACTTCTTGTATCATTCAGTAATGTTCCACTGTGTGAATGTGTTAGCCGCCGAGTGAGACTGAGCCTAACAAGAAGACACTCCTGTGCTAATGACTTGTAGTGTCTCTTTCTTTGTTCCAAGCCGGAACTTTGTGGTACAACAAGCTAAGCATGTCCAGAAGTGTCCATCACTGTAATCTCCATGACCTTAAACTGAACCTATTGAGGAATGAGCCACCCCTATATAAATTTCATAGGCTCCCTGCTTAGAATCCCAAGACATAGAGAGAACTACAGATTTAGTTCTTGCAGCAGGCATGCTGAGCACAGGAGTTGTTTCCAAAGTGTGGGGGTTATGGCTTTTTGTTTTGTTTTTGTTTTTTTTTGTTGTTGTTGTTGTTTTGTTTTGTTTTGTTTTGTTTTTGAGGCTGTATTATTGTGGGAAGCCACGCAAGTCTCTAATCAGGTCTGTAATCACAGCACCCTAGAGACCGAGGCTGGAAGATCACAGGAATCCTTCGCTATAAAGTGAAATCTTGCCTCAGAATGAGAAAAGGAAAGACAAAAGGGGAAGTCACCGTTCAATTAGCCTTGGTGATCTGCTAACAAATGAACAGAAGTACTTTTCTTTATTCCCTAAACTATAACGGGAAAGGATTACTTTTTTTTTTTTCCATATCCCAATCTCAGATTTCATCCTTGATGGTTCCTGTGTCTAGAAAACTAAAACTTACAGGAGGTCAAAAAAGCATTTGCACTAAGGATACAGTGAAATAATTCTTAGTATGGCTAAGATCACTTTATTGAGGTATAGTGTCTATTATATAGGGGAAAGGATTACTTAAAGGGATATTGTTGGTATTTTAAAATTTGTGCTAATTTTTTTTCTTTTTTTTCTTTTTTCTTTTTTTCTTTTTTTTTTCGGTTTTACGAGACAGGGTTTCTCTGTATTGTTTTGGAGGCTGTTGGTCCAGCCTGGCCTCGAACTCACAGAGATCCGCCTGCCTCTGCCTCCCGAGTGCTGGGATTAAAGGCGTGCGCCACCACCGCCTGGCGCTAATTTTAGTTTTAGTTATGCATATTGTGTAAATGTGGTTTGGAGCCACCTGACACGTGCTGGGAATGAAATTCAAGTCCTCTGAAAGAGCAGCAAGCACTGGTGTTGGTAGTTAGTGGTAGGAACTTTAAGTATTGGTGATTGGAAGAAAAAGAGATGGACAGCTTATGTAACTGGGAGGCTGTTGTTGATTACTCAGTGAGCACAGGAGACTTCGTAACAAGGACAAGGTGGGTCTCCAGTTAGACTGTTAGTTGTTCCTTGGCACTCATTTTGTGAGTGCTATTTTAGGAAGCTTAACCTGCATTAGGTCTTTGGTTTGACTCTCAAAGAAGGAGGAAGAGGAGAGGGGGAAAAGTGAAACTTTAATCACAAACAAACATTGTATTAGAAAAAGAAGTAAGATCAGAGACCTCAGTGAGCCAAGGGTCTGAGGGAGGGGCGGGGAATAAACATGCTGAAACAGCTGCTCTCTGGGGTGGGAGTGTGCTACAAACACATCAGCACCCCTTCACTCGCTTCCCCTTTCCTTCTGCAGACTGTGTGAAAAGCCTGCTGGGACATGTCATCGTTGCTGGATGCCTGGTGTGCCACAGAAGCTTGGCAGCAAGGTAGCTCCTCTAAACAAGTGCAGGATGTCACCAGGAATCAGGGCCCCGCGGAGTCCAGCCTTCCTGTGATTCTAAATGGTAAAAAGTCTGAAGGTTTCCCTAATGTCATCCTGTCGGTGATTTATTTATCTTTCACTTTGTCTTTTGGTATTAACAAATTACTTCCTAAATGAAATATCTTAAAGTGGCATCGTTTATTCTGGTGTCAGACACACTTCAAGCCTGAAGTGGTGATCCATGCCTGTAATCCCAGTTAGTACTTGGGAAACTGAATTATCACCGATAGTTCAAGGCCAACCTGACCTTCAAACAACAACAAAAACATTCTCCACTCTACCCCCTGCCCCTCCCCAAAATTATTTCAGATCTGGTATGGTTAATATGACCGTTTTTCAAATAGGACTTTTAGTTACAGAACCACTTGCCATGTCACTAAATTGCTACTTTTGTTTGTGGCGGTTTGGTTTGGTTTGGTTTGGTTTGGTTTGGTTTGGTTTGGTTTGGTTTGGTTTTGAAGCTGGGTGTCACTGTGTATCTTTGGCTGGCTTGGAGCTGACACACATCTAACTACCTCTGACTCCTGAGTGCTGGGATTAAAGGCTTTCATATACTCAGTTTACCGGATTGTTCTTAAAAGACAAAACAAACAAACAAAAAACTCAATGGGAGCTAGAGAGATGACTCAGTGAGTAAGAACACTGCAGAGGACCCATGTTTGATTCCCAACACCCACATTGGGAATGTTACATAACTGCAAGTGCAACTCTACCTCAGGGACTCTTTGGTTTTTGTGGACACCTGTACTCATGTAGACATGCTGCCCTCCCATACACATAATTAAAAATAAAATAAAGCTTCCAAAAATAAAAAGCTGGGGAGTTAGCTCCATCAGTGAAGAGCTGCTTTATAAATCTAAGACCATGAGTTTAAGCCCCAGAATCCATGACAAAAAAAAAAAAACCAAGTTGATGTAGTTGTAGTTTGTCATCTCAGTGCTGAAGAGGCAGATAAAGTCAGGTCCCGGATGCTCACTGGCCAGCCAACCTAACTTGGTGATCTGTAGGCCAATGAGGGACCCTGTTACATAAAAACCTGGCAAAGAGCAACTGAGAAACAATACCCACAACGTGTGTACAAGCATGTGCATGTACCCCCCCATTGTATGTGTTGCATACACATACAATATTTCAATGTCTATAGGCATTTTATATGCTAAAAATTGGTTAGGCTCTTGGCATTTGAATTCAGACTTTATAGAAGTTTGGTTGGGTTTTTTGTTTGTTTTGTTTTTTTTCCCTAATTTTGAATCAGGTAGCCTGAAATTTACTATGTGTCCAGGAATGGCCTTGATGACCTTGAACTTCTGATCTTCTGCCTCTACCTCCAGCGTGTTGGGGTTATGTATGTACTATGTGTTTGATCTTAGTGGTGCTGGGCACTGAATCCAGGGTTTCTTGCATGCAAAGCAAGTGGTCTACAAACTGAACTACACTCCCAGCCCAAGTCTTGTTTTTCTAAGGGCTTTATTATCTATCATAGCCAGTGCAGGAGATGCAGAGCTGTATTGCTTATTGAACGTATTATCACTGTGGAACTACACTTAGAGGTCCACCCAACATAGTCACCAATCTAGCTTCAGTTCCCCTAAGCCTTTTCAGTCTACTTCAAATACTCAGAATTAATTATCTTGCTCCCAGGATCTTCAGATTGACAGTTGTTTTTAAACTTATCTCTGAGCGTGGCACAGCTCTAAAGCAGCAGCCAAAAGCAGATGGATCTGACCCTTGCACGTCTCCTGGCAGCTGACAGCTGATGTCTGCCAGGAGGAACTTAGTGATGATACTAAGATAGTAAGAGGTACTCAGCCGGGCAGTGGTGGTGCAAGCCTTTTATCCCAGCACTCGGGAGGCAGAGGCAGGGGGATCTCTGTGAGTTCGAGGCCAATCTGGTCTACTGAGTGAGTTCCAGGACAGGCTCCAAAACAATACAGAGAAACCCTGCCTCGAAAAAAACCAAAAAACAAAAAACAAACAAACAAAAGAGGTACTCATTCTTACAACTGGCGAATACTGGCACTCCTGGCGTGTGGACAGTCCAGAAATTACAGCTATGATCCTCGTCTGTGTTCTTGTGCTTGTATATATGTGCAGCCCAGATTGTCTGGGTTTTTGTTTGTTTGTTTGTTTTTTGAGACAGTCTCTCTTAGCCTTGGCTGTCCTGGAGCTTACTAAATAGACCAGGCTTGCCTCTGCCTCCTGAGTGCTGGGATTAAAGGCTTGTGCCACTACATTGAGCCTCAGATGTTTATTGTAGGATATTTTAGGACATCCTTGAGTTAGGTTTGATTTTTACCCTCCAGTGTCCGGCTTTTAATATGAGAACAATGGGTCTTCTGTGAAATGATCTCTATTCTCTAATTAAGTCAATCTTGTTTTGTTTGAAATATATGGCCTCAAAGCAAAGGAGATAGTTTTGAGCCTGAGAATATTCTGTAAATGATTCCAATTACTATGCCTTTCGTTATGTTTTAGCACTGTCCCATCCGGTGATAGCTTGTCCTACTGATAAACTGGTGACTCATCTGGCCACAACAGACGGAAACTGGAGGAAATACCATTGGCATCCAAGGCCTGGAAGATTGCCCCATCTCAAAGGGAAGCCTCTGACTGTTATTTGAAATGCCGAGAAACTTGTTTCGGAGGAGACTTTTTTCTTATCCTGCAAAATACTACTTTTTGGGTCTTGTTCTCTCCCTCATCACTTTCTCTGTTCTAAGAATTCATCAGAAGACTGAGTTTGTTAGCATCAGACACTTGGAGCTTGCTGGAGATGATGTGAATAGCAACATCAATTGCACCAAAATTTTACAGAGTGACCCTGATGAAATCCAGAAGGTCAAGCTTGAGTTACTAACAGTGAAATTCAGGAAGCGCCCTCGGTGGACACCGTATGACTATATAAACATGACCCGTGACTGTGCCTCTTTCATCAGGATGCGCAAATATATTGTAGAGCCCCTTAGCAAAGAAGAGGTAGGCTTTCCAATTGCGTATTCCATAGTGGTTCACCACAAGATCGAAATGCTGGACAGGCTCCTGAGGGCCATCTATATGCCTCAGAATTTCTACTGCATCCACGTGGACAAAAAAGCCGAGGAGCCCTTTCTAGCCGCGGTGATGGGCATTGCGTCCTGCTTTGGTAACGTCTTTGTGGCCAGCCAGCTGGAGAGTGTTGTTTATGCATCCTGGAGTCGGGTGCAGGCTGACCTCAACTGTATGAAGGACCTGTACAGGATGAGTGCAAGCTGGAAGTACTTGATCAACCTTTGTGGTATGGATTTCCCTATCAAAACCAACCTAGAAATTGTCAGGACACTCAAGTCATTCTCGGGCGAAAACAACCTGGAAACTGAGAAGATGCCTCAGAACAAGGAAGAGAGATGGAAAAAACGATATGCCATCGTTGACGGGAAGCTGACAAACACTGGGGTAGCCAAAGCACAGCCTCCACTCAAAACTCCTCTTTTTTCAGGCAGTGCCTACTTCGTAGTCAGTAGGGAATATGTAGGCTATGTGCTAGAAAATGAAGATATCCAAAAGTTCATGGCGTGGGCACAGGACACATACAGCCCGGATGAGTATCTCTGGGCCACTGTCCAAAGGATCCCTGGAGTCCCTGGCTCTCTCCCCTCAAGCCATAAGTATGACTTGTCTGATATGAATGCTGTCGCTAGGTTTGTCAAGTGGCAATACTTTGAAGGCGACGTTTCCAAAGGCGCTCCTTACCCACCATGCAGTGGGGTCCACGTGCGCTCTGTGTGTGTTTTTGGAGCTGGTGACTTGGGCTGGATGCTTCACACGCACCATTTTTTCGCCAATAAGTTTGACATGGATGTTGATCCCTTTGCCATCCAGTGTTTGGATGAGCATCTGAGGCATAAAGCCCTGCAGACCTTAGAACACTAAGTGCTGTCGGGAACCCTTAGGAAAACAAGGCTGCACACAGTGTTACTCTCATCGCCTTCCTCCCAAAGATGGGGTTTTCAAGACAGGGTTTCTCTGTGTAGCTTTGTAGACCAGATTGGCCTCGAACTCACAGAGGTCCACCTACCTCTGCCTCCTGAGTGCTGGGATTAAAGGTGTGCACCACCACCGCCCAGCTGGATGATGACTTTTAAGTCAGTGTCAGAGAAGTGCATGAAGTTTGCAGAATACAGTTAGTTACAAGAGACATCGATATATTAAGTATTGCAGAGCAAATGTGAGGAGAGTTAAGATGGCTGGAGGCTGGGGAAGATTTTATGGCCAGAGGACAAGTGATTACGAAAGAGGCCAATGCAGTAATCAGTCTTCCTGACTAATCAAAGAAACAGGTACTTCATCCAAAGGAGATTTGATTTGTGCCAAAATTCTCTTAGGAATTTTAATCATGACACTTTTCTTGATTTTAAAATTGTAGCAACAACCAATCACAAAGATATGATTTACCTAGTATAGTTTTTGGAATGGACATTTGGTTTTGCTCTTAAATTACCCTTGTAAATAATCCACTTCCTGCTGTGACTCTGTGGGGGTAGTGTCTCTGTGTGTCATCTCAGGGAGTTTAAAATATGTTCAGCATGATTATCTCTGTCTTAATTTTTTCTTTGCATACATGTTTTCAAAAGCGGGGAGGAGGGAGGACAATTTCTAGCTAACCAATTTTTATGAATTCTTTTAAGTTATTAGAGAATTCTAGGAAGCAGCTGGGTGTGTGGCCTGTGCCTGTGAAACAGGATCATCTGATCTCAAGGGATAGCGACTGGGCTAGGCAAAGGAAGAAACAACTGTGTTTCCAGATATACAATTTTTTACCCTGCCTTTCCAGACTGTGAATGTTGTAAAACGGCATACATGTCACTGTCTGAGGGCCCCATATCAGTTTTACCCCACCTTCCCAGACTATGTGCATGCTGGAAAGTGACATACATGTCACTGTTGGAAGGCCCTATATCTGTGCTTTTAGTCTTTGATGTGGTACAGTCACTAGTAACTACTGCAGAAGACTGAGGAGGATGAGGAAGGTGGAGTCTATGACGGCCATTGCTAAGGCCCCAGTACATGCTTATAGCCAGCAGTTGGCTCTATCCCAAGAAATTAAGGTTTCTTCCTACTGGACCCGCTAGTGACTTGGGTGGCCGCATTCTGGCCTTGAGTTTTCTTGTTATCTGCCCACTGGCTTTTCTTACCCTCTAGCTGCTAGTTTCTTTCTCTCTCATGGCCCTTGCTGAGGAAGAAAGAACAACACTTGTGTCCACATGAAGTGTTTGAAGACTTGGGAAGAGAGCTGTGTTTTCACAGCAACTTTTCACCGAAAGACAAATGATACAGGCTTTCTGCAGTTCTGACTCTTTCTCAAAGGAAGTTTTGTTTTGTTTTCCCCCTCTTAATATTATTTAGCTAAATCTAAACTGTTCAACCAGAATTCTAATGACCGGGAAGCCTTGTTATTTAGTGTTAAATTTTTAACAAGAATTGACACCATGTACTTTTATTCCTAAAATATAGTCAACTTTAATAACCCATGAGAAAATCATAATAACAGACAATTTTAAGGCATTCAACTGAGAAAGTTTATTTTCTGCCTCAGAGCTAGAATCTATTTTTCTTGTAATGACAACTCTTATCACTAGAAAAGCCGTGTTTTGTGTTGGACCAATAGAAACATGGCTGCTGTGAAATTGTAGCGCTGATGGTGGTGCAGTGATTGATCGGTCTGTGTGCCTGCTATGCTGGCTTCTGGTTTCTTTCTTTAGTTTGTGTCCAGGTTTCGTTGAATGCTTCTTTAGTAGAAAGGCTTTTACCTATGAGACAGAGCATCTTTTAAATCTAAAACCCGTGGTACTTGGAGACATAACATTTGTGTAAACAGCTGTGACTTGAGCAGTTTTTCTGTTCTATTTTGAAAACGCAGGGTTAAAGCAGTGGTCCAGTGACCCAGCAAGCAACCCTGACCAGAAGTCACCAGCAGTTAACACATAGAGCCCCATTAGCTTTATACTGGATGAACTCTTGAACTTTGCAAAACTGGAAATGAAATTTTTGTTTAAATTACAAGTGTTTTTAAAAATCAAGCATTGTATGTTATTAACCCAAACACTCCGTATTGTCATGTGGCTGCATTTAGTTTACAATTAAGTGGCAAGTCTGAGGGTCTTTCCTTTCCCCACTGTCGGAGTAAAACTAGGACCCTAGAGTTCCAGAGCCCACATTAATGCTGTGAGGACTCCACACTGTCTGATACCTCACTTTCCTAGCACTGCATTTGTTGAACCTGTGTCTGTGCTGTAGTGTCCTGATGCCCGATGCAGGCAGGGCTTCTGTAGTGTGTTATTGGGACTCTGTGGATCCTGTTTTCACATTTTCCAATATGACTTAAAGCAAAAGAAATTTAGGGACAAATAATTCAAAGACCTAAAAAGTGAACTTGGAAATGAAACCATGATACATTCCAGATGAACACATTTCTAGGTCATTGGGAGTGATACCAGGCTTTATTTAAGCTACTTCATATTTGTTAATGAACACTAATTTTAAACTAAAATCTTTAAGGTCTTGTATAGAAAACTTAGTAATCACATTCACAAATAAAACAGAATTTTAGCTATTAAGTAAATCAAGATGTGTATATCATTTGTTAAAAACTAATTTAAAAAGATTGTTTATTGTGTAAACACCTGCCTAGGTCCTTCCAAGGTCAAGGTAAAAAACTGCTTCGCCTTAAAAACTGGGAACATTATGACTTCAAAACATGTATCTGTGTCACCCATCTAGTAGGGTTCTTATTTAAATGAATTTATTTCCTCTTCACATGATTTGGGTTGGAAGAGGCTGTTTTAGTAGTTCATGTGTAGGACTGATGGAACTGGATGTTTTTAGTTGCTTAAATCATCATCATTATGAAGTGTAAATGCAATACTATTTATGGTAAATTTTGCTTAATGAATCAGTCATCATCATTAAACTCAATCATTCAGAAACCAATGTTGTGTCTGCACAAATTATTGCTTCTTAGTTCCACCAATCACAATAAAGTTAATTTTTGTATTTGTGAATAGTAATTGAAAAATCAAGGCAGAGATGTCTGAAATTACCAAGGTTTAAAAAAAATGTCTGAAAGGAGGATATGACCAGAGAAAATTACATTGTAAAATAAGGTAAAAGGCTAGGTGTGGCGGTAACTCCAGAGGTAGGTACATTATAAACTCATGACAAGCCTGGTTTCTGTAGCCAGCTCCAGGCCGGCCAGGGCTATACAATGAATCCCTGTCCAAAAAAAAAAAAAGGGAACAGGCATGCACGAAGATGAAGGTGGGGAATTTAGAAGCATGCTGTGAGTGGCTTTCCCAGATGTTGGGCACATTTTAGCTTGTGTCCAGTGATGGAGAGGACAGATTTCTACAGATTAACTCCATGGCTATAAAACTCTGTGGCACTGTAGCCTGTCTGGCACATAGGGATGAGAGCCTTGATTTGATTCTTAGCACAAAAGAATAATGATAATAAAATCTTTTTACAAATTTACAAATTATTCAGGTGTTGAGAAAGATCTGAAATCCATCCATTTTGCAATCTTCTAGAATCAGTTTCATCTAAAACATGACTATAAGCACCCAGAAGCATCAACAGGTCGGACACGATGGCATCTGGACTAAGAGCTCAGTATTTGGGGATGAGAGTTCTTTTCCCCCTCAGATGTGCCCCAGACATTCAGAACTCAGCAAGTGGCAGAGTCTAGACGTTTTTAGATGAAACCAATTCTGGACAGCAGCCAAACGGATGAATTACAGACCTTTCTCAAAACGTGACTATTTTATACAGATGTTATTGTCATTAATTGTTTGTGTTGGGATCAAATCCAGGCTCTCATACACGAGAGGCAGGCTAAGGTGTCACAGAGCCGCTCCCCCAGTTCTAGCTGATTAGTTGACTTAAGGTCTCACAGTATATGACAAACTGGCCTCGAGCCGATGATCATCCTGCCCCAACTGCTCACTTCTACAGTCGGGCTACATCATGCCTAATTTCAGATTTCTTTTTATTGGTGTGTGTGCGCGTGCGCAGGTGATTCAGCATCTAGGAGAAGAGAACATCGGATTACCTGGAAGTTGCAATTGCCAGTGATTGCAAACTCTTCGCTTTGGGGGTGGGTAATGAAGCCCAGTCCTCTGGAAGAGCAACCAGTGTTCCTAACTGTTGAGCCATCTTTCTCTTCAGTACCTGAATTTTGGTTTTTTTTGTTTGTTTGTTTGTTTTTGTTTTTTTTTAATGAGTGCATACATGTTCCTGCATGTGTGTATGTGTGTGTGTATGTGTAGAAACTACGGAGTAACCTCAGGTGTCATTCTCAGGACTGCTACCCAACCTCCTTTGAGGAAGGGTCTCACTGACCTGGAATTTACAAGTAGCTTAGGCTGGCTGACCCTGCAGGTCCTAGAGATCTCATTTCCCCAGTGCTGGGATTGCAAAGGTTGCATCATTTCCATCATTTTCACATTGTTTGTTAGGCTCAGACTCAGGTTCGAGTGCTTTCTGTAGTTTAGCTTACCAACTAAACTATATCCCTACTCCCAACATTTTCTTATATCAAGTATATGCTAGCCAAAACCAAGGTTTAATTTTTAGGTATTAAGTTAGCAATTTCAGTGCTATCGAATATTTCAAAACATTCATTCTCAGTACTAAAAAGAGTATCACATATAATGTGATCTTCTAAAAGAAAAGGTATTGAACAGAAAGAAGTGCTTGGAATTTTCCCAAAACTACACCTTTTCAAGTCATTACCTCCAGTTCCATAAAATTGTTAGTTGTCCAGTTTGAATTTGGAGTCTTTTTCTCACGGTTTGCCTTTAGGAAATCTTTATTTCCTCTACCTTGTGTGTTTACTCAGGCAGAAGAGACCCTGCTACTCTTCCCTAGGAAATGGTTTAAATTTAAGCTGGGGAGCTTAGCAGTGTGTTTTAAGGCCTTATCCTTGAGTAACTATGAGATTTCTTAGTTGTATAGGTCAGGTAAAGCAATTCGCAGAAGTAGCCGGAAGAGCAATGCCTTTGCTGTTGGGGGGGAAAAGGCTCTGATTAGTGGTGTTCTTTATGGAAGGGGCAGGCATACATGCTCCACTCCCATTGGCTATACCAATCTGCCTTCAAGGTCCCAGAGTGCTTAGTTGGTGGTGATTTTGCCTTTGGCTCCTTAAAATGTATATATGTGGGGTTGGAGAAGTGATTCAGAGGCTAAGAGCAACTACTGCCCTTCAGAGGACCAAAGATATTCCTAACACCCATGTCAGTGACTCACAACTGTAAACTTAAAGAACCAGACCACCAGAGCCACTCTGAGGCTGAAAGATAAAGCTTTGTTTAGGGGAGTGAACTTCCAAGCTGCCTCCAAGAGAAGGGAGAACAATCTCGCCAAAAGGGACTTTTTAAGTTTTTTATTGGAGTTTTATAGGGTGATTCTAGTTGAGCAGGAGACCATTAAAGGGAAAGGGACTTCTGTAAGCAAATTTTCCGAGTGGTGCCTCGGGCTACTAGGATGGCAGGAGGCTGAGATCCAGCTGTTCTTCTGAGACAAAAGTTCAGCAGACTTCTGAGAAGGGCAAAACATCCAGCAGGTTGATTCCCACACAGGGTCCTCTTACTATCTTAGGTGGTTCCATCTTGGGCTTGCGCCACAACATACTGTAACTCCAGCTCCAGGGGAATCCGACACCCTCTTCTGCTTACCCCCAACAGGTCATTGACTCATACAAGCAAATAAATAAAAACATCTTTAATACACACACAGATTTTTTTGTATCAAGTAAGTATTTGATGGTATGTTACTTGCCAGTGAGAAAAAGATGTTTACTAGTTAGAGAGATGGCTCAGAGGTTAAGAGCATTGGGTGCTCTTCCAGGGGTCCTGAGTTCAGTTCCAGCAGCCACATGGTGGCTCACAACTATCTATAATGAGATCTGTACCCTCTTCTAGCCTGCAGGCATACATGCAGTCGGAATCTGCAAACATAATAAATAAATCTTAAGAAAAAAGATGTTTACCTTTACTAGAACTGGAAAACATTCATCTTCTTTCTGTCACGGGGGTAACTTTGATGAACACTGCACAAGATCTTGTCTAACTGGAGATTTTGTGCAGACTGAGTGAAGGATATCCCACCTTTAAGTTTAGCTAAAAACAGAAATCAATGTGATTTCAAGAAACCATTGAAAAAATTCTGAACATTAATACCACATGCTTAAATATTGCTAGGTATTTATAATTTTTTTTTTGCCTTTAGACACATTAGAAAATCTTCTGGCCTGGTTAGAATTCCCTTATATGACTTAATTTAAAAGAAATGTTTCTCATTAGAGAATTTCTCCTTCCACTCAAAGAAGAAAATTCATTTTAATATGTTCCTTGATGCCCACTGAGTGAATAACAACTGACATTGGGCATTAGCTTACTGCATGTTCTACACACCTGGCAGGTAATGTTACTTCCTTTCTTGGCATAACAACCTGTAACATTCTGGGTACAGCTTGCAAAGGAGCTAGACAGGCATAACTCTAAGAGCATCTATTGTTTTCAAACAAACATGTCTTCTGTTTCAGCCACACCTGTCCTTCCAACCCACACTCTGCTTTGAGTAGAGTACTTAGGAGGAGGTATGTATGCGTGGCTCTTCCACAAAGCAACACAACTAGCCAACCCTTCTTCCCTCCCTCCCTTCCTTTTATTTTTTTTCTTTCTTTCAATAGCAAATGCGTTGAGAAATTAAAGGTATAGAAACAAATAGTTCACTCTCTTCAGAGTTGTTGAAATGATCCCTTAAAGAGCTTGTGGAGACATGAGAGAAAAATGAAGAAGCATGATTCCCCCCCCCACACACACACTGTGTTCTCTTGTGTTCTCTAGTAGAGGTCAGGTCCTCTATAACTCTTCCCCTTGATGTTTTTGTAACAGAATCTCTCACTGAACCTGAAGTGTTTTTGTTAGACTGGCCAGTTGGCCACAGGTACTTGCCTGTCTCCACTCCTCCCAGGAATGGGGTTGGTGGTTTTTAAGTGAACACAAATGTGGGTCCTTCCTATACTGTATATAAGCAAAACTTTGCCTGTCAAGCCATGCCTAGCCCTGGGAGGAGGGAATCTTAAAAGCAGGAGGGCAGAGGAGAGTTTGGAAGCTATCAAGAGAATAGTTCTGATGTGTCTTCTTCTAATACTTGATGAAAGTATAAGAAGATGGAGAAGGAGGTGTCCCTACATAAAATATGTGAAAAGTTTCCAGGCCCAGCTTCCAGGGCAACCTGCCTTTATCTGTACTCTCTTGTAAAAGCAGCTCGTCCAGGAAATGGAAAGAATAGGGGATTTATGTTAGGCTGGGTTTTGTGTTTCGAAGCAATTGTGGGATTTGTCAAGGAATGTGAGGAGTGGCGGAACCTGCTAGAAAGACCGGGGTATGGGTTAGAGGCCAGAAAAGGTGGGTGGGCCTACAGAAAAGCTTGAGGGAAAAAGGAAAGATTAGCTCCTTGCCTCCAGGCTATTGAGGTATAATTGACAAGCAAAAATTATATGTGATTAAAGTGTAGAGCAGGATGTTTTGATAGATGCTCACCCTACTAAGAGATTACCACAATCAAGTTAATGAGCATAGTCATCACACCTCGTAGTTTGTGTGGTGAAAACACTTTAAGATCTACTCTTAGGAGCCACAGAGATGGCTCAGCCAATAAAGATGTTGGCTGCCAAGCCTTAGGAACTGAGTTCAATTCCCAGAACCCACATGGTAGGAGAAAATTGACTTTCCCAAGTTGTCCTCTGACCTCCACACACGCATAGTGGCATAAACAATAAATAATAAATATGTGTGAGATACATACATATATATATATATATATAGAGAGAGAGAGAGAGAGAGAGAGAGAGAGAGACAGAGAGACAGAGACAGAGAGAGAGACCTACTTGTTGGAGTTTTCTTTCAGCCAGGTCCTGCTGCCCTTGA